TGTTTCCCACCCAGGTGGGCTAGGCTGCTGGGGAGCAGGCAGAAAGATCTCCGAGCCTAGAGCTGCTCCAGCGCTCCACTGGCTTCCTCGAGATGGCAGACAATGGGACTTGAATCCTGTGCCTCGCTCAGGTCCGCTGTCTGTACTGTGCTGGCTGATTCTGACCTGGGTGAACCAGGCAGGAGGGGAGTAGGCAGAATGGAGCTGAGCCTCCCAGTCAGTACCTGAATGTACCCCCTCCACTGGGCGGTAAGAGTGAGCATCACTACCTTCTGTGACCAGGAAGGTGTCTACAGGATGTTGACTGTGGTCTCACAGATTTGGAAGCAGGAGCTGCTGGCACCCAGAAGGTGTCCACAAGACTGTGAAAGTGGGCACTTGGGTTTGGAGCCTCACCCTCAGTACAGTGAGAGTGAGCACCCAAGGTCTGAGCCACCAGTGCGGGTCTCAGCGAGGTATCCACAGAAAGTGGGCTTGGGCGGGTGGCCCAGAGCTGCAGCAGGACAGGGCAGGAGCTCAGGTTTTTCCCGGTTTTGCCACGTGGCCTAAAGACGGACCTTCAAAAATCCTCATGGGTTCTCCTCTCACATGAGAAACACAGACATAGGGGCTTGGAGGGGGCGCAGTATGGCCGGCCTGCTGAGCAGCTGTTCAGATAGCCTGTGTGGTTGGCACCGCCATCTTGGATCTCCTCGGGAGCAATGTTTCTAAGAGCATGAACAAACTGCTTCCCTGAAACACCATCCTTGCTCTAACAGAATCGCCAGGGCCTCCACAGCCATGAGCACATGGGAAGAGCACCCCCTCGTGGGGCTCCCTGTTACAGCAACAGTAGATCTTCAGTCAACTGCAGCACGGAAGTTGGAACTAGGAAGGGCACAAACTCGCCACTAAGGAAACTTCCTCTTTGGCAATCAGCAAGCTTAGCTGAGAACCTTGGATGTGAGAATTTCTAAGTATGTTTCAGGATGTATTCTAATAGGGTGCTAATATAAAAATGAAACTATTCCAGGAACAGTGAAAGGTTGGACTCTGTGCGGAAGCAGCCTCGATTTGTATTCAACCCGGGAGCTTCAGATGTGGGCATGGCTTGTGAACGCAATCGACTTCTTAGTTTCCAAGGAAACAGGATCAGAGGTCCATTTTATTGTCCAGAAATGAGACTATCTTCTCCCACTCAATTCTACCCACTGAAACATTTCATTTGCTTGCACCTAAACCCTGCCCTTTCAAAGTAGCTTTGAATTTCCTTTTTCTTTCTTTTTTTTAGAGAAAGACACCCTACAATTCCTCTGATGTTGGTTTCCTTTCCTTCCCTCCCTCACACCACAATGAGCCAGTTAACCCAACTCAGTCACTCAGTGATTTGTCCTTGATAATCTTCCGTTGATTGTGTAAAGACAAGACTTGGTTTCTCTGTGTGTGTGTCCCTCTGTCCCTCTGTCTGTGTGTGTGTGTGTGTGTGTGTATTTACATGTGTGTGGGCGGGTGTGTCTGTGCAGGTGTGCATGTGTTTGGGGAAGCCCAAAGTTGATGCGAGGTGTCAGTCTGGATCTCTCCCCACTCCCAATTTTGGCTAGTCTAGCTGGCTGGCTTGTCAGGAATCCCCGGTTTCTGCCTCCCAGGTGCAGGCAATTACTACAGCAGCCTTCTACATGAAGTCTAAAGCTCCAATCCCTGGTCCGCACACTTGCTCAGCAAGGGCTTATTCCACCCAGCCATTGCCACAGCCTAAGCTGTCTGTTTCTAATGAAGTAACCTAACTACAAACCAAAGTGTGAGCTAGAAGTTTCCGTGCCATCAGTATTACAAGCCCCTGAAGGAAAAAAAAAAAAAAAAACAACAATTAGATAGATAAATAGATAGATAGACAGACAAATACTTTTTCTTCTCTTTCAGTTTACAAAACTCAAGCTGTGCCTCTTATAATAGAACAATGGTGCAAAGGATGATGGTTTAATTTTCTCTTCTTTAAGATGTAACTAAGCAAGGTTGATGACAATAAGCACTAATTGTTAGAAAACGTGCAGCTGTGAAGGTTACACGGCAGATTCCCAAATCATACCACGAGACCGGTTCCACGTGGGAGGTTTATTAGGGGAAGGGAAAGGGGGTCGCAGTGAGAGGAGGCGGGAGAGAAAGAGGGGGGAGGGGCTCCAGGAGTTCTCTTAAAAGGTGACCCAGGCATGCGCAGGTGGTTCCAGGTGATGAGCGGGTGGTCTTCTTGGTAACCGGTTTGTCAGGTCCCTTGGGGCTGTCCGTAGAGATGCCTGCTTACGGATCCCAACACTAATCACCTGGAACACTAATCACTAATCACTGACTGAGACAAACACTTGTTAAACTCTATCACCTCTGTGGTGGTCCTGACTCTTGGCCTGGGATGGCGTTTCCTACCTCACTGAGAAGCAGGAAGGCCGGGGAGTATGTGTGCTGACTCTTCCATCACACCGTCCTGCCCGCCTGTCACCTCACCTGGTGATGTCATCAGTGCATCAGGCTCCCTGACAAAGCTATTTCCTGGCTTCTGCGCTGGGTTACTTCCACGTGTGTCCGTGTAGGAACACTGGTCCCTTCGGTCTCTGCCTTTTCCCTCCTGGGTGTCAGCCTCCAAAGAGCCCTTGGTGACAATGTCCTCTGGGTGTCTGTGACGGCCTGTGATCTCTCCTCCCCCTGAACCAGAGAAAAGCAGTGTGATGAAGAAGGAAGCACTGAGCATGTGTGACTTCAGGGGCTAGGTCACAAAGGACAATGGACATGCTCAATTCTCTGAACCTGTCTATCTCTGAACCTGTCTATCTGTGCAAAGCCAGCACCGTGTCAGAATACTCCAGCAGCCCCTGTGAAGAAAAGCTGTGGGCTCCAGTGAGCAACTAGAGCAGACCATAGTACTCTGGGTAAGCTTCCATCTCCAAGCCCAAGCACACCTCAAGGTCCACACCCCAAGGTCTGGAACCCCAGAGACTGTGGGAGATAACAAAGCTTATATGTATATCATTTAACGTTATACATTTGGGGTATCTGTAAAAGACGGCTCTCAGGTTTTCTCTAGGCACTCAGAAGAATAGCCAAAGTCCCCTCAGTAATACAATAGGCCTCCCACCCAGCCCAACCTCACCCACCGGCCTTTCTAGCCTTGTTCTCTGCCACTCTTCTCTCCTGACTGCCTCAGCATCAGCTGGAGCCACACCCCATCATTCTCCAGATGGCCTCAGGGCCTCTTTATGGGCCATTCCTCCCCTATCTCTTTAACCCCTTATCACTGTTTAACATACCAGAGATATTATTCACTATCCAGTTCCTCTTATTTGCTTGGAAGCTAAGTAGGTACAGAGATTTTTTTTTTTTTAAATCTATTCCCAGGGTCTTGAACTGCACCTGGTTTATAGCAGGTGCCTCATAGAAATTTCTCAAATGAATACATGACTATTTAGAGCACAAGAAGCCCCAGCTAAGCATAGTGTGTTGGACAGCCTATGCTCTTCCACTTAGAAGGCTGAGGCTGGAGGGTCATGATTCTGGGGCCAGCAGGAGCTGCACCGTGAAACACTGATTTATAAAAATAAGAGCTGGGAATAGCAGTGTCCAAATGCTTGCCTGCCATGCCCAAGGCTCTGTGTTATGTCTCTAAAATAGTGCACACATCACACAACTGCCTGTAACTCCAGCTCCAGGCTCTGCTCATGTGGCCTCTGTGGGCACCTGTACTGATATTCAAATAAACACACACACACACACACACACACACACACAAATAAACACACATGCACAATTTAAATTTTAAAAAGAAAGAAGTTTAAAATCAAATATAAATAAGTACATAGTGTTAATGTTTTCCTAAGATCAATATAGGTGATGAAAAGTATACTTGGTTCATTCCAAGAGCTGTTAGCTTTACGGGGAGTAAAGCTCTTACTCTTGGTGGACTATTTCTTGAAAGTGAGTAGAGGTAATAGTTTTATTCTTTATTGGGGTAACCTTTATTGTTAAACATTTTGTGTAGAAAATATGCCCACAGGAAGGGCAGAAACATTTATTTCAACACAGCACCATCAATTTTCAATAACAGTATATTTTCCTAACACAAAATTGTTCTCTGGCCAACCTGGCAGGTGTGATAAAAACAACTATGAAAACCACTGAACTATTACGTGGGTCACCCAAGGTGACAGATAAATGTAGTGAGTTGCGTGCTCTTGGGAAACAGTGGTACTGACAGACGTGCTTAATGTAAGGCTGCTGAAACCCCTAATTTAATCGCCCTCTCCGTCCTCCCCCTCCCGCCCCCACATACAACCACACACAACCACACCTTTCAGCTACATAAGAGAGGCCATCTCAATGAGATGTCAGGAACCTGCACTCTAACTCGCTGCCCTGGTGATCCTTATAGCTGAGGAGGTGGGATGAGTATTGATCCGGAATATGACTCACAGCCTGCATTCACACCAAAGCTTCCCGGAGGACATTTTCAAAGAAATTGGCTCGTGGGCCAAGCTTTATTTTAGCCCCTCCAGTGTGTGGGTTTGTCCATTGCAATGTGCCAGCAAGCCACAACGGTGGCAGTCCTACGGGCCACTTTGTGCACATTACATCAGCGTGCACACAAGTGTCCATTAGTCATTTAGATGCCTTCATCCAGGCCCATTATCCCAGTTACATAGGAGGCTGAGGCAGGAGGATCACAAGATCAAAGCCCACTTGGGCTGTGCAGTAAGTGTAAGCCAATGTAGGCAAGCTTGTGAGAAGCTGTCTCAATATTTAAAAAGGAAAAAAGGGCAGGGGGAATACAACTTATTAGAGCTCTCACCTAGCAAAGAAGGACAAATTGGAGTGGTCAGCTTTTTTATAATAGTGTGAGGAGCCTCTGAATTTGTCTTATCCACAAACAACGGTGTGATGATAAAGAGAGGGCGACTTGCTACTCCCACACCGAGCCTTCTTAAAGGGCAAAGAACCTCTCTGGTTAACTTGCTGATTGACAAAGGGCCTGACGTCTCGTTAGTCACCTGACTGAGCTCCAGCCCTCCACTGGGAGCGTGGCCGGGCCTGGGAGGGACTCTGATCTCCCTCCCGGACGCCGGCAGGAAGACATCCACTCGTGCCAGAGCCGGGCAGGGGCTCCGCAGACAGCGCAGTGAGTACCCACCGAGCCTGGGTAGCCCTGGGTCCGCCCCCGTAGCCTGCAGCTCCTTGGGAAAACTAGGACGTACCCCCCCCGTGACGTCAGCCCAGAGCCAGGCGAACTGCCCTCGGATTGGAGGAAATTAAGGGAAACCAGAAATGAAGTCTTTTGAACTAGATCCGGCAGTCCTGATCTGAACATCCCGATACTGCGTTAAAGGGAGGCGAGGGGCTGCCCAAAACTTTAAATTAGTAGGAAAAACAGCAGGTATACCAGTAATGAAACGAAAGCAGTAAATTTTCATAGAAAGACTGAATGTGGCTTAATAAAATATCAGTGAGTACTTAACATGCAAACCTTGAGATACGTGGACTTGAGACCTTTCCAAAGAAGAAAGCTGAAAGCTTCTGCCCTGCAGAAATGCTAAAGTACGGAGAACGCCGCTGCCTGGTTGATAGCCTGCCTTAGGTCACCGGGTGGGGACAGGCCACGTGCTGCCGGCTCCATGTGGTTTTTATGGTTCTATCGTCCAGGTGAAAATTGAAAAAATAAAAATAAAATGAATGTGGGAAATAAATCGCAAGTTTAAATCCTGCCTGGGCTCTGGAGTGATTTTTAAAGTCCGCCTAGACAAGCTGCGAGACTGTCTCACATCAAGATAAATAAGGGCTCGGGATGGAGCTGAGCAGAAGGCTTGCTGAGTGCTCTGCAGGATTAACTTAAGAAAGAAATAACAATGGTAATAATAATAGTAATGATAGTGGTTTTTGCTTGCTTGCTTGTTTTTTTAAAGGCAGGTCTCACGAGTGTAGTCCTGGCCGGCCTGGAACTAGCTATGTAAGGCGGTCAACTCAAAAGATCTGCCTGCTTCTGCCTCCCGAGCCAGGGGATGTAGTTTGCTATCAAACCACAGTCAGAAAATGAGATTTTTGAAAAGAGTAGTTTGAAATAGGTTTGTGGTAAAAGGGATTTGGGGATGACTGTCTGGTAACGTGATGACTTTTACCACCGAAATGATTTAGAACTAGGTGGACCTTCCTTGTAGCAGCTTGGGATTGTGGGTGTACAGGGGCTTAGCTCAGGTGCTTTTGGAAAAGCGCCAGGGCGGTGCGCTAAGGCAATAACTGACCTTTACCCAGCAGTCTAGTGAGGTCGTGCGCTCTGATTAGCACTCCCAGTTATCTTTCAGTCCGGGCTGATTCTTGGGGCAGCCCATCATTTAACGTAAAGCGCTGTCCTCTTATCCATGTCCTTGCTTTGCTTGTTTAATTGTTTAATGGGGGAAATGATGTTTTTAGCTACGTCACCTGTATTTTCAGTCCCACGGCAGCTTTCCAAGTAGCTCCTACAACATATTTAACAGCCCTGATGGTTATTTATTTATTTGTTCGTTTATTTATCCTAAAAGGGATCTCCTGCCTCGTTTAACAACCCTCAGATGTATTTATTTGTGTATTTATTTATTGTGGATGGGATCTCAGTCCTAGCTGGCTTTTTAACGATGGGCTCTCGTTCCTCAGCTTCCCAAGTTCTTGGACTGTGGGCATGTGCCACGTGTCTTTCCTGATAGCACATGCTTCTTGACCCTTGAGCTACTCCTGTAAGCTACTTATCCCTGAAAGCCACTAACGGGCATCAGAGCCTACAGGCAGTCCAAGCCTAGAAACTTTTTTTTTTTTTGAGACAGGTTTCTCTGTGTAGGCTTGGCTGTTCTGGACTCACTTTGCAGACCAGGCTGGCCTCAAACTCACAGCAAGCCACCTGCCTCTGCCTCTATCATGCTAGGATTACAGGCTTGCACCGCTGAACCTGGATCCCAGAAACCTTTTCATCATGCCATCTACTTTACAGGGTAATAACCTTTGTAATGTGTGGGTTTGGGGAAATGGGATCCAGATCTTGTAAAAAGTTAGATTTTGAAGCTCTGAAAGAGAAAAACATAGTTTATCTCATTATAAATTAGTGATAAAAAAAACTATTGTTAGAATGTTAGAACAAATTTTTTTAAAAAAATGAATGCATGCCCATGTGTATAAATGATGCATATTTGTACAATGACCTGATGAACTGCCGAAAGGAGCCTTAGCCTCCTTTTGTTCAAGGATTCCACGCCCTGATCATACCTGGTTCACGGGTTCACAGCTTCTCAACTTTCACTTTCTTTCCTTTTTTCATTTCAGAAACTTGGAAAACACAGATCGAAAGGGAGACAGCTCACTGTCTGCCGCCTGTGCATCCATGAACAATAACAGAACCGATCACACCACTGGCTACCTCTCCTCTGCTGTAGCCATTGTCCTGTTTGGCTCCAACTTTGTACCACTTAAAAAATATGACACTGGTGATGGTAATTATTTTTTGGTTTTTTTAATTGTTAACCTAAACTTGCTCTTAAGTGTCTTGGTTATTTTTGTTTGTTTTGCTTTTGTTTTATCTTTTTAAAATAACAGTTAAAAATACATTTTATCGATCATAGTGCCCAGTGAACAGAACTCACATAAATCATGTCACAGTGCCCACTGTGGTGCCCTGAAAGCTTGTCAGGGCAAGAAGGCCAGGTGATAGCTCATGGCAAAGGCAGGGCAGGTGGCACTGGAAAAGCTTCATGGCCAGTGCCACTATCAACATTGATATGAAAACCAGTTTTCAACACAGCTTATACATAACACCAACCTGCTAATTAGTGAGCACGGTCATCTCTCACAAACCACGAGGCAAACACAGCAAGCTGCTCCCCATTGAAGGAAGGTGTACAGCAGCACCCAAACCTAGGCGTGCCCACACACATCCCTCAAAGCTGTGAGCCAGGCTTCCTCAGTTTACCCCAGTGCACACACAGACATACACCCTTGGCTTGGAAAGCTCTTGGATTAAAGGTGTGAGCCACACCACAACAAGAAACAGTTTTCTCCAGTGAACAGTTCAGTCTCAGGGTTCACAGCTCCATCAAATACCCTGCAATCATATAGGCTTCACAGTTCACTTAGAAATGTACCTAGCAGCTTTTTGACCAGATTTGTTTTCTTGGTGCCTGAGAATGGGCCAATCCTGACTTAAAATAGCTGAAAGAATGAATATACCATGTGCCCACTGACTGTGTCTGTTCTTCTAGGCACGTCTTACAGATATTTTCAAACATGTGTATAAGCACATCTTGCAGATAAACATGCACATACTCAAATCTTTCTGCCGAGTGATGCCAGGTTATCTTATTTCTAGGGATGTTCCTGCAGTGGGTACTCTGTGCTGCCATTTGGTTGGTTGCCTTGGTGGTCAACTGGATACTACGCTGCCCTAAATTCTGGCCTCTTGCAATGCTTGGGGGCTGCATTTGGGCCACAGGTAATGTGTGTATTCATCCAAGACAGTCAGTGGTCACAGAGTGATAGTCACAACCAGGAGAAAAAGCACAGTGGACTCGTGGTTATTAGACATGCATAACAGACATAGGCTGTGTCCTTTTCCTTGTAGGTAGTTATGGAAATTTCCTGATTTTTTTTCCTTTAAATGTTTTAAGTTCCTACTAATAAATTAGTAAAGATATTTTATCCTTTTAAAACATAACTTAGATGCCAGTTTATACATTTGACCTTTCTCCATCATGTTTATCAGAAAAATGTTTATTAAAAAATAATCCTTTGCTAACATCATTTTTTACCTTACCCTTAAAAGCTGGCAAATAGAGGCATATAATCATTTTAAATAACATCAAGCTAAGAAAAGAGACAATTAGAAATCCCCTTGTTGCTTTATCAATGCCTTAAAGCTATAATAGGATTTGTATTCACAGTAAGCCAGTCAGAAACACCCTGGACAGTCCTTTTTTTTAAAAAAGAAAAAAAAAAAAAAGGAATTACTGGAAAACTTTCAGGAATGAATTTGTTAGACACAAATAAAATTTAAAATGTGAAAATGGTACTGCTTACCTACTTGAGTCTCTGAGGGACTAAATGATTTAACAGAATTCATTAATCGAGCTCAAAATAAGCAAAACTTTATATTTCCACTGGAATTAATTACCACACCTTACCTGTGCCTCTGTGATTGCTCACTGTGTGGAACTGGGAGAGAGTGAGCAGGGTTCATTCATTCTCTTGATGGTTGCCGACAGGGTCCTACTATGCAGCCCAGGCTGGCCCAGAATTCCGAGTCCTCCTGCCTCTGCCTCCTGATATAATCGCAGGCAAGACACATCTCTCCTCTGTCAGCCTGCAGATTTTTTTTCCAGCCAAAGCTGGTGCCAAATGTGGTGGAACACTTCATGAATATCTCGTCTTCCTTGTGCAGGGGCCATGCTACATCTCATTTGTACCACTTCAATTTTAACATGTACACAGCCGAAGGGAGCGTTTTTTTATTTTTGAAATTTTATTTAGTTAAATAATTTTTAATATGTATGTTTATTTCTTTGAGATGGGGTTACCACGATGTAGCTTAGGCTGGCCTGGGGCACTGTGGCCTCTAACTCATAGAGATCCGGAGATTAAAGATGTGTGCCACCAGGCCAGGCCCATTGTGCAGGTCTTTATAGACACCAGAACGTTTATCTCACAAGCAGGCCACTGTGCTGAGGCGGATAAGTAGGAAGCCAAACTTGAGAAAAGCCACTACATTGTAGGTTGTCACAACCATCCAGTCTCGGGCACAGAGGGAAAAGAGGAGCTGATAGTGTGAAGACTTTATTGCAGGTGATCAGAATGGAGACACTAAAACCTTGAAACCAGAAGAACTTTTCCGGAAAATAAGCGGAGGATGGTACCATCCGAGGCTAAAGGCCCTAACATTCCCTCAGTGGAGCACACTTAGCTGCAGACTTTCCTCACCAGTTCAGAGCTCCAGTCTAGACTGACTCCAGCCGGTAGTATTGTTTTAGAAAAAGCAGCAATGAGCTGGGTCTGGAGGAGCAGCCATAGTCCCAGCTTCTGGGGAGAACGCACTGAGAAGCCCTCTTGAACCCTGGAGTGGGAGAACAGCCTGTGCCACACAGCAAGATCTTGCCTCTCTCACAGCCGTGCTAATGACAGCATTCGACCGTGGGTTTGGGCCTGAGTGACCCTGGAGAGCTGAAAGCCAATGGTTGAGGGGGTCTGGAAAAAAAGCCAGGGAGTGCAGGGCAGAGGGTACATTCTGGAGGTGTGTTGGGTGTAAGTTGAAGTTAGGAAAAAAACAAAACCAAATGAAAAACACAAATTTAACTTAGAAATATATTTGTTGTGCTGGAAGTAACCTATTTTTCCTGCATGTTGTATTTACAGGGAATGTCGCTGTTGTCCCAATCATCAAAACCATTGGTCTAGGTCTCGGAATCCTAATCTGGGGATCATTTAACACCTTAACTGGCTGGGCAAGCTCAAGGTAACCGTTCAGGTGATCTCAGCTAAGAGTCCTGTGTGCTGTGTAAACCGGGGTTCAGCCGTACTAGAAGATATACGTGATTCTTAGTCTACGATTATGGCTGGTACACATAAAATGAGCCCCATGTCTAACTATTATTTGTCTGAAGCTCTTTATAAGGGATTTGTATATTTGACGAAGATATAGCAAAGGAAATCAAAACAAAAAGCAAAATGCTGTATCTGGAACACAAGTAGGGAGAGAAACTGGCAGCTGAGCTGATGTCTGCTTTCCCTCTCCACTGATACAATCATATGAGTAAACACTGAGTAAGAGAGCTGACACCAAAAGAGGCTGAATGCTGAGGGTCAGGTCCTGGCCAGGTACCAATTCTAAAGTACATGCTCTTCCTTGCAATAGAGCAGCAATCTGCGGCTCCATCTCCCTGGCATTTTGTAAAGATTTATTAAGCTGCAGCCTTGTCAAAACATTTAAGTATTGTCTGCGACTGCTTTTACAGCATAGTAGCAAGGAGAAGGGGAGACTGCCAACCCAAGACACTCTGGCTCTTTAAGGAGAGCTTCAACACTAGCTAGAAAGTTGTGCTGTTCAAAAGGTTAACCACAAGCCAAGGGTGGCCTTTGCATCCTGGTGGTACTATCTACATATGCAGTCTCCCCCATTTCACGTAGGGCATGGTTGGGAGCATGTGACTATCACAGGCAGTTCATGGACAGTGTGTGATGCTCATGGTCAGTATCACATGTGGTCAGCGTCGGGGAGATAAGTAGTGAGAACATTATTCTTGCCCCACTTTAAAGCTTTCCTTCTATTCAAAAGCCTTATAATGACCCCAAAAGAACAGGACAAAGCAACCTACCAACTTAAAGTATTAATACACCCTTTCCTATCCTTTCTCTCCCACCACCGTGAAGTTTTGTTTGTTTTAATGCCATACTTTTTCTCCCTGCCTCAAGCTCTTAGCCTTGGATAACTCTCTATGGTAAATGCTAGCTATTGTGACAAAGTTGAAGCATAACCAAAAGAAAACAAAGTAAACTGACATCAGAGAATAGGAATTTAACTGAGATGCCATTGTAAATACCTCAAATATTGCAGCTGGGCTTAGGTGTAGCTTAGAGTTAGGGTTTAGCGTAGCATGCGCAGGGCCAGAGTCTGAACCCCTAGCACTGAGGTACATGTGTGCGCGTGTTCACATGCCCACATGCTATCACATACATTATCTCTCGTGGTGTTTTTTGGTTTGGGTTGGGTTTCACTTGTTTATTTTTGTTGTTATTGTTTGGTTTTGTTGTTGTTGGAATAGAAACCCTGGCTGGATCGGAAACCAATTTATGAATGACCACACTGTCCTTGAGTTGTTCTTGTCTTAACGTCTGGGGATTACAGGAATGTACCAGCATGCTTCAGCCACTATTTTCTCCACTTTAGCATGGAAATTAGAGCATAGTGTAGAAAAGTAACCTAACCGAGTCAGACAGTGCAGGAAAGCCCCTAGTCCACTCTCTCAAGCATTACTCTAAAACAATTTATCAGTATCTAAGCTGGTAATCTTCTGGTCTCCAGGTTTGGCTGGTTCGGGATGGACGCAGAAGAAGTGCCGAAGCCAATTCTGAATTACATTGGAGCTGGGCTCTCGGTAGTAAGGTCTGCAGCTGTTTCTAGTCCCTCATTCTTTTGGGCTTTCCGAGACCTTTCTAAAGATTAGCTTCATCTTTATTCTACTTTATTTGTATGAATGCTCTGCCTGCGTGTGTGTGCACCATGTATGTGCTTGGTACCTGAGAAAGTCAGAAAATAGTGTCAGATTCCCTGACACTCTTACAGATGGTTGTGAGCCGACATGTAGGTGGCTGGGAATCAAACTCAAACCCTCTGGAAGAGCAGCCACTGCTCTTAATCACTGAGCATCTCTCTAGTCCTATTTCCTAAAGCTTTTGATAGCCTTACTTTAAAAAAAAAAAAAAAACCTGTATTTCATGAAATTTATGTTTTCTGATTCTTAATTTTCAATGACAAGAAATACCTTCCTGAACAAGAAATACCAGATGAAGGGAGTCAGGAACTCTAGTTTTAATTCTCAAAAGCTCTGAGAAACTAGGTAAAGTCACCTAACTGCTGTAAACTTCAATTTTAATACCTACACTAGATAGAGAATCATAATACATTGTACCTGTGAACCAGAACATATTACATTATTTTGCTTATGAAGTCATCCTATGAAAGTCAGCATTCTGCTGGTCCTCTGTGTCCCTGGAAGGGTCGCTGGTTCTGTTTAGTCCAGGAGTTTGTCCTCATCCGGGGAGGTACACTCTACCCTCAGAGGATGTGGAAAACAAAGGGACCATCAAACACTATGATCTCATGCTTTCTCCGTTTTAACTAAGCAATAAAGCCATACTTCTGTAGCTTTATAGTTGCAATGTGATAAAAGATCTAGCAGAAATCTCTCTTCCTTACAACTTTATGAGACAGCTTTGTTCTTACTATAGATGTTAGAACCCTTAGTGCAGTCATCTTAACTTTAAAAGCCGAGAACTTTCACCTTTGACGATATCAGGCGTGTTCAGGGTGGCATAGCCGTGAATGCTCACCTTTTCGCTGAAAAGCAACTCTTAACGGGTCCTCTTTGGCATGTCGGATCTGGCAGCTTGCTTCACCACTCTTGTTGTTTGTGCTCAGGCTAGCTGAGTCCAGCACTGCAAATCACTGTTTGACAAAGGGGACTGAGGGTGACTAAGTGCTGGAGCAGTTCTTCAGGGTGGTTAACCAGAGAACGGGATGCTAATGCATGCCTGGGTCTCAGACAAGGAGACAGCCCCAGGCTATACAGGGCAATGCCCAAGTTAAAGTTTGGGAATGCGAATACCTTGAGTTTAACTTATCAGATCATGGCTGACCACAGGTCTTGAGCCCGGCAGAGCATTGATTCTGCTTTCAGCACCCCATTCTCCCATTCATCCTTTTTAACCTAGTTACGACTTTCTCCTCTCTCACATTCTCCTTCGAATAGCTCATTTTCCAGGTCTCTCCCTCTACTTATACATGCTATGTCAGTAAGGATGAAAATGACTTTGAATCTCCACACAGTGGCGGCTCGCCAATAAAACTCAAGCAAGAATGAGGTCACCTTAGATTCAGTCACCTATTCTCTCTGGATCCCATTTATATCCACTGTCAGTGCCGCACATAATGAATAGCATTGCCTACAAGAATTTTAGTACTTTTTCAGTCTTCAGGGAAAGAACAGTATATTTCCCTTCCTCCGCTAATGGTGTTTTCCCCAGCCACATTCAGGAACAATCTCTTTGTCATTGAAATGTTGCCTCAGAGAGTAGTCTCTAGGCAATTGGGGGACGAATAGCAAAGCTTATTCCAAAACTGTAAATTCTTGACACATTTGGTTAGAGGCAGTTTTATGTGTTTTATACGGTTCATGTGGAATTCTGGCTTTCGGTACTTCTAAGACAATTTCTTCACATTGTAAAATTCTAATTTAGCATGTCTAGTTTTAACTTAATGATAATAATTTAAAGTTGGTCTATCCAGTACATTAAGCACTTCTTTCCTCCAAATTTCTTCTTTAGAAAAACAAGTTTTCCCCTAAACTTACAAATCAGTTAGTTTCTCATGTTGCTCCACTTCTACCCATATGACCTTGGACACACCTTTTCTCCACATCCTCTGCTTCTTCATCCATAAAGAGAGGGGAATGCTGGTACCAATCCTGTAAGATAATTTGAGGAGCCAATGTTTTAAGAGCTTTGTGTACCTAGACTCACAGTTTAGGCTCCACGTATAAGGTAGCTTCCTTTACCATTCACTCCATGTTCTGTAGTAAACACCTGAGATCCTCAATGATCAACGTAAGTGAAAAGGCTGTAACAAATCAGCCCTGTGGTTTGCGGCTGTGGGGAAGCTTCTCAGTGTGACCAGAGTACATGGAGGAGCAAAACCATCTACCATAGGGCAACAGACGAGAGTAACAGGGAGCCCCAACAAGCCCCCTAACACCAGCTTCTGATTAAGCCCCACCTCCGAAAGGCAGATGGCCTCCCCACAGCAAGGAGACCAACCGGTCACCAGATCTTTGACACAGCCTTTTACACACTTGAACCCAGATGCCTGTGCTATTACATTCACTCATTGTTGCCCCTTGGGACCTTTGTTGGTGGCTCCACGTGACGTGATCCACTGGAGGAACTTTGCAGCTCTGTTAAGAGCAGGATCTGCTGCGGGAGAAGGCAGCGATCTCTTCCTGTGAGGCATTCGGGCCCCATCTATATTGCTTTCCTGGGTGGAACTGCAGGAATCTGTGATTTAATTAGTTTAACTTAATAGCTTTAACAGGTTCGTTTCAAAGGGCATTGACTGAGTGAATTTAGAGCTCTCATTGTAGTGTGAAGAAACAAAATATAGTTTCGTTGGTTACAGACGTGGCTGTATTCTGTGTATGTGTGTGTGCATGTCTATATGCGTGTGTCTCTGTGTGAGGGATGATATTCCTGTGTGTGTAGGTCTGGTGTGTGTGTGTGCCCACACACATATTCATGTATGGATTTGGGTACGTGGGTGTCATGGCACATGTGTGAAGATCAGAGGACAGCCTCAGGAACTGGTCCTTGACTTCCATCTTTTTTGAGATAGGCCCTCATTGCTGCTGCATACACCAGGCAGACTGACCTGCAAGGTTCCAGACACTTCCCTGTGCCACCAGTTCCCCATCTTTCTGGAGGAGCATTAAGAATATGTAGTTTCTCCTTGTTCGTGTTCGCTTTTATGTGAGTTCTGAGAACTCAGACTCAGGTGTTCATTCTTTTCTGATGATTCAGACTCAGGTGCCCATTCTTGCATAGCCCACTGAACCTTCTCTCCACCTCAGACTTTTTTTTAAATTAAAATAACAACTCAGTCCTTTGTGCCATCCAGTCTACAAAGGACTGGTGAGACAATCGCTAGCTTTACTGTGGTCCCGGTCCATTCGTTCATACCACAGAAACCACTCCAGGGCTTTGGATCAGCAGAGGATTTATTTGCTCACTCGATTGCTCACTCACTCACTTGCTTGCTCCCTTGCTTGCTGGCTGACTGGTTGGCTGGATCACTTGCTCAATTGCTCATCTGCTCGCTTATCTCCATAAGGCCTCACCAGTTTAGTCCAGGATGGCTTTGAACTTGCTATCTTCTTTCCTCAGCTTCCAGACAGAGTTCCTTTCCTATCAAAAGAATAAAATTATGTGCCATGTATTATCCAAGAGTCTGGTCTCTGTTTCTGTCTCCTTTCACCTTCTCTCTCTGGAGTCTTGTCCACCTCCCTTACTCCTACCCCTACTGCTGTCACTATTGCGCACTGTGAGGAAGTGTGGGACTTTGCTTCCAGCTTCACCTTTCATAGGGCTGCAGTCGTTTTGTCTAGCTATGGACCAGGCTGGCCAGCCCCACTAAAGTGCCACAGTGCCTCCTAACCCATCTATGTGAGATGACAAAGGCAGAATTCTAATTAAAAATCATAGCCACCTGCAGTTTCCTCCTTTACAATACAAAATGTATGTTGCACTTAATCCCATAAAATCCATTCTTTCCGTCATTTTTGTTTTTAAGACAAGGTCTCGCTATATAGCTCATATTGCCCTAGAACTCAAAGCCCAGCCTGACCTTGAACTTGTGGTCAATCCTCCTATGTTGGTCTTACAAATGCCAGGCTCACAGGTATGTATCCCGTGCCAGATTTCTGAAACAGGTTTCTCCGTGCAGTTAGACTCACTTTGTAGACCAGGCTGGCCTCGAACTCACAGAGATCTGCCTGTATCTGCCTCCTGAGTGCTGGGATTAAAGGTGTGCACCACTACTCCCAGCTTAGAAGAGTCCCTCTGAGTGTCTTTTTATTATGATGATGATTTTTTTATTTTTACATTAATTATAGTTTATTTACTTTGTGTCCCAGCTGTAGCCCCCTCCTTCATTCCCTCCCAATCCCACCCTCCTTCCCTCATTTCCTCTCCTTGCCCGTCTCTAAGTCCACTGATAGGGGAAGTCCTCCTCCCCTTCCATCTGACCCTAGTTGATCAGGTCTCACCAGGACTGGCTGCCATGTCCTCCTCTGTGGCCTAGCTAGGCTGCTCCTTCCACGGGGTGCTGGGGAGGTCAAGGAGCTAGCCATAGAGTTCATGCCAGAGACAATCCCCGTTCCCCTTACTAGGGAAGCCATGTGGATACTGAGCTGCCATGGGCTACATCCAAGCAGGGGTTCTAGGTTATAACCATGCATGGTCCCTGGTTGGAGAATCAGTCTCAGACAAGCCCCTGTGCCAGATATATTTGGTCCTTGTGGAGCTCCTGTCCTTTCCAGGTCATACTAACTCTCTCTTCTTTCATATGATTCTCTGCACTCTGCCCAAAGTTTGATTATGAGTCTCAGCATCTGCTTTGATACACTGATATGCTCTGAGTGTCTTTTACAGCCCCAAGTTCTTCACTACTCTTGTGCCACTACGGAATTTAAGCAATCTCATTCCCAATTGCTCTGAGCTTTGTCCTTTCCCTTTTCTATAGTACAGTATAGTATAAAATACTTGTTCACAGATGGAAGGGTTAAGTCTCAAGGAAGTTAAGTCATTTGTTGGAGCGTTATTTCTTTAAGGGGGAAAAAGAACACACCTGTAGTTTTCAAATATCTAACATCATATTGTGGTACTAGAAAAATATACAAGGTTATTTGAAAACTGACAATCTTAATTTCAAACTGGAAATGCATTTTCAGAATCTGATGTTAGCCTTACAAATTAAAAGCAGTCACTTGCATGTACACATACATGTACATGCGTGTAAATAGGTCCAGTTCAGTCATTCTTTCACTGTCACGTGTTTTAAGAATTCTTGAGATGACGCAGCACGTGATTCCTGTCTTCTGATGAAGCAGAAAGTCTTTACAAAAGGAAGTAATCTGGAATTGGTACATGGTCTGGCTCCAGCAGTAAGACTTGGGACGGTGAAATCTATGGTGTGATTCATTGAGGACCAGTCTGGGTGTCTCCTTCCTCCTGTTCTTCCTTCATGTGGCCTGGAAGAGGAGAGTATGAGTTGTGTGTGCATCTAGAAACATTTTTAAAGGAAGAGCCTGGATGTAAAACATGGGGGAAGAAAGGAATAGATAATAACTTCAAGCAGAGAGCGCCCCAGAGGAAAACACACCGATTGGTCATCTCTGCAAACACATATACAGTAACATTATACAGATTGAGCAGGTTGTACTTAAGAACATATATGTATATACATGTATAGTAGGGCTTGAAAAGCAAGAGATTGGAGCTAATTAGGAAATCTATTTTGGTGCCTAAATCAGCATACATTGCTCACTGTCCCGAACCCAGACACCCTGTTTAAGCCTCAAATTTACTCTGAAAGCTTCCTAATTTAATTTTTTAACACAAAAAAATGCACTAAAAATATTTTAAATGAATACCCAAGGTAATTCAGAGGTATCCATTTTCTTAGTATCTTAATGTATTTACATAGTTCAACCAAAAGTGAGACGTTTGCTATAGAGACACTAGTCGTGCATAGACAGGACCTTGTGCGGGGGGAAGATATCGCTAGATATAGCATACATGGTTCTGTCTCTTACAATTACACCCTGCAGCTCTTTCCACATCACAGCTTTGAAACCACCCTGCCTATAGCTATGTGGTCGTCCATCATTTGGCTCTCTGCATGGCCTCACCTGTTGCGCCTGTATTGGAGAGCTGGGGTCAGCATTGGTAAGGGGCAAAGGTCAAACACTAATGGTTAGGAGATATCGCCCTTCTAGTTGCTCCTCCAGGAAGAGTGTACTTTATCACAAATGTCACTGTCATGTAGAGGCAGCCATCCTTTACGATCATCCAACAGGATATTGTTAAACATTTGGAGTTTGTCATTATAATAGAGGGATGGCTACTTCAGTATTGTGTTCATTTTTACTTTCACATAAAGCAATGTCAAAGTTGTGACAAAGATCCAGTTTAGGGGAAGTCTCATGTGTTTGTTCTTTACCCTGCCAGATAAATACATCAAGGAGAATGCCCCCCCAAACACACACACACACACACAACAGGGAATGTGTGGAAGTAATTTTATTGTCAGGATTCGATTTTAAGTTTTGTTTTCTATTTAAAGTCAGGCAGCTTGATACAAAAAAAAAAAAAAATCATGTTCTGGTAAATCTCACTGGAATGTATTTTCCTTCAGTGCTCTCACATTTTTGTTCATCAAAAGTGAAGTTCCTACTAGGCCTTGCAGCTTGGACACCGCACCCCTGATGACAGAGCCTGTGAGTATTGTTTGGAATGATTTGATCTGAAACTTAAGGTCAGGATGTGTCTTATTAGGGTTTCTGTTGCTTCGAAGCGAGACCATGACCACAGCAACACATACAGGAGAACATTTCGCTGGGGCCGGCAGAAGTCTAGTCCGTTATCATCATGGCAGCGCACGGGCAGGCACGGTGCTTGAGAAATAGCTGAGAGTTCTACATCCAGATGGGCAGGGAGCAGAAAAGCAACACTGGACCTGGCTTAAGCTTCTGAAGCCTCAGAGCCCACACACAAGGCCACACCCATCCCAACAAAGCCACACCTAATAGTGCCCCTCCCTACAGGCCTACAGGGGCCATTTTCAGTCAGACCACCATACGAGGGAGGACTAAATATAACTGACCCACATGTGAGAAGATGATACTTCCCATCCCCCGTGGCTATAAGCATCGTTATCAGAAGGGAGTCAGGTTTCCATGGCGATGCTCCTTCCCAGTCATGAAGCTGAGGTTTTTGACAATAGAGCCCTACATGCCATACACATGTAGCTTTTCATTGAGGATACACTGCACTTTGCCAGCCCTGCAGCTGATGAGAGTAGCTTGGGAAAAGGAAGGAGGAAGCTGAGGAGTAGACAGAAGGGACCTAATGGTGGTCAATGAGATCGTGAGACAGTAGGAAATGGACTTGGTTGTTATCGTTCCCTTTCTGGTTTTATCTTTAACATGTTTTGCTTAATGACAATGACCAAAAAAATACAAAAGGAGGCACAGTTTTGACCACGAAGAGTATAAATTGGTCTGGAATAGCCAATCAGTTTTAAACAGGGCCAACCTTAAAGAGACATAACATTACCCCACTGTCCAGGGTCCCGTTTGCAAAGCTTACAGGATAGGGCGAGTCCACATTGCCAGGATCCCAGTGCCAGCCCTTCAGTCTCAGCCATCCTCTCTGTCTGCTAGGGGTCCTGGCTGATTGCCCTCTCTGAGCCCACACCCACACCCTACAGGCTTTGCCTCTCTGGCAGCTCCACCACAAGGCCATTATTCTTCCCCAGCCACTGCTCCCTGCCCCCTACCAAAACCTCTATCAACTGAGACAGCTGCTAGCTCCATTAAATTGACCTAAAAAGCAAGGGAGGAGAAGGATGCTGCTTTCTGAGCATCCTTGAGCACTGTGTGTGTCAAGAAAAGATAATCGGGCCCTGTGCCTTCTGTTCCTCACCTGATGAGGGATCCAGATGGTTGCCAGCTAACTGCCCTTTGAGTAAAAGAACTAGGAAACAAACACAACTTGAGAAGAGACACAGGGTAGGCCCTCTAGATCTTCCAGGCAAGGTACAAACAACCATGATTAAAGATAAATGAGCAATAGAACGGATGAGGATGCCGGTGCAAGCCTGAGCACTAACAGAGAAAAACCTGACTCAGCAGGGACAGTGAATTCAAATTGAGCTTTTTATGTACACCAAGGACAAGGTCAGCTGGCGGGAACAGAAGATTATAGTCAAGGACAGAAATGGTAAATCTTCAGGTTCGCTCACAGATTTTCCTCAACTTAAAAGTATGAGCCTAACCTTGGCACATGGCTGGAAGTATTTTAGCTCGGTAAAATGGAAAATTAAAATAGTGTTAGTAGGGGGAAAAGAGACATTAAAATGCTTATTGGTTTTATGTATTCTGCTGTATAAAGTGAGTTTTTCTTGAGTCTAGGTTCTTTAGAGTTTATTAAATTTATCAAATAGTTACAGGCTAAACTGTGGAAAGTGTAAGTTGAAAACTGGAGAGGCGGAGTCAGAGCATCTGGCCTCCCAGAGCTTGGAAGGAGACTTGTTGGTGGTTTCAGGCGTGTTTGAGAGGGAAGGAAGCCCTGGAGGGCTCTGTATGGCAATTGTCAGCTGCAGGTGCTTGTATGCAAGTCTTTCTGATGACTTCCACAGGTGATCAACACAGCCGAAGACCCCTGTGAGGACCCCTCGTGGGTGGATAGACTTTCTACCAAGTACCACCGCATTGTGTAAGGCGAGGCTCCTTCTCTCTCTACTGTTGTGTTTCACGGTTTCTAAAACAGAGGGGCCAGAGAGACATGGTCCCTCTAATCCCAGGAAGAAAATGACCATGGAAACACTCACTTTCACTTCCTGGAGGACAGGGTTGGTCCTTACCCCCTGCTGAGTTTTAGGTATAGATGATGCTTTGAGGAATACTATATCTGACCAGTTAGCTGGTGACAAAAGTATTTTTTTGGAACTTTAGCCCCAAAAGTAAAGAGGTGGCATAACGATCATGCTGTGAGTATTCACAATCTAATTAAATAGTGAACCCTATTTCCTCTGGTCAGCCCAGGACTGCCACCCTTCCTTCGAGTGTTTTTATGATCCCGGGTACCTGTTGTCAAATATAATAGACTATTTTGTGCCATGTAAGCCCTACCCTCATGTCTCCATCATAAGCAACCTGTCTCACTTTAGGAGATGAGGTTTTAGTGGTTTGGGTTTTTTTTTTTTTTCATTTGTTTTGTTTGTTCGTTTGTTTTCTGACAAACTATGTAAAACATGCCAGAGGTGCAGTTTTCCTTTCACAGCCGTGGCCGTTTGAACGTCGTATGGTGAGAGCTTCTTTGGGCCCAGGACATTGGAGTGGCTGCTTGTTTGGCTTTGTGCAGGCCTCAAGCACTCTGGCACTGCGCTGTACAACCCCAACCCGAAGGCAGTTGACAAGTTCCTCCACCATGGGAAAGGAGCCGTGGGATAAATGCTTGAGTCAGTGAAGAGAAAAAAGGATTGAACAAAACCGAATCAGGCTGTGAAAGACAGCCTTGCCATTTATGCATTCAGAATGAACTAGTTTCCTGAAATTATTTTTTTTTAATGTTTTCATATATTTTCCCCACAAAGCATGTCTGTCAGTAACAGAATATTTGTGAAATGAAAGATTTTTAGAGTTGGGGGTGTAGCTCAAAGAATGCATCTAAAAGCTCTTGCCTAGGTCCCAGCAAGAGAGAAATTCTAATTATCTTTGTGTGGTTATGAGTTTGGCCACGCTGCAGCCATGGACTCTCGCCTTCATTCAAGTCTGTGGTGTAATGGGAATGAATTGCCAATAAGGTGTAAAGAGAGTTCTGGGTCCTGGGTCCTTTAAATGGCCTTAGGTAACATTGACAAGGAATGTGTTTATAGGCTTAGGGGAGTTTTTAACTTGCTTTGTGGTTTTGGTTGGGGGGGCTGTCGTGCCACGCTCTGAAGACAGGGCCCTGCCTAAAACTGCTTTCCTCTTCTCAGTGCATTGTTTCTATGAAGATAGAGGGACTGTCTTAACATGCATGTCTTCCCTCTCACGCCTAAATCCTCGGAAATTCCCATCCTCTCCCTCACCCTGGATTCCCCATTGTATGCGTGCAGGACACAAGACCAAGGAGGTAGCAGTGTTTGGAATGAGACTTTTTTTTTTTTTTTTTTTGTCTCATAAAGGAATTTTTTTGATCTAAAATATTCAGGTTCTTAGGCTCAAATGACAGTTCTTGACAAAGGCACAGTCACATTTGTCTCTGTAACCATTATAAACAAAATTGTGTGTGCCCATCATCGGCCACGTTCCACAACGGTCCTTGGCACATCCTTCTGAGAACTTGAAAAGCATTATGTCCACCACAAATACATCATACTTTACTCTATCTGTATGCCGTAGCAATGCTCAGCTCATGTAGAGTGGCCATTTGTAGGAGTAATTCCTTACTTGCTCTGTGTGTCATGTCCTTCTACCATGGCAGAGTAGACAGCTGAGGCTACGCTTCTATCTTCATGACTCTGCCAGTCACATAGACCAAGTCAGAGGGGTGGCTTCGGCTAAACTGCTTAAAATTTGCAAAGAAAGAAAAAAAAAAAAAGCCTTACTTGTGGTTTCATTTGTGTGTTGAGAACGTTTCCTCCGGCCAAGATTCACAGAGATTTCTTTTTGTTTCTTAAGGGGCTGCAGCCTTGCAGTAATATCTGGAGTACTCTATGGATCTACATTTGTGCCAATCATTTACATCAAGGACCACAGCAAAATAAATGACAGCATCTATGCGGGTGCTAGTCAATACGGTGAGTGAAGAGGTTTTCTCCTGATTCTCTACTAATAGAAATGGAGTTGTGGCCAAGTCAGAACTGCTCCATGCATGCACCTTTTTTATTTGTAAGTGGTGAACTAGAAGGCAGCAGGAATAAAGGTAGCAGTGGACACTGGAATGTTTTCATGGGACCTGTAACATACAAATGGAACCAGCTATATAGTCAGAATTTATTTCTACTGCCGGGACCTCTGCATGGGGCTCTCAGCATTCCACTAAGATTCAGAGATTATGAAGAGTCATAAATGTCCAGCATGACCTCTGGGAAGACATGTATTCTGTGCTTTTCAAAATCTAAAGTAGAGCATGCAATATTCTTAAACCAAGTAAATGTTAACATATAAGCCTGCTTGGTCAAAGGATATTTTTCAAGCATGAAGTAGCCCATCTGAAAGGGTCAACATAATGCCTCCAGTTTTAAAATCAGTACTTCAGTAGCAAAATCAGCTACATTCTGGGCAATAGCCCTGAGCAAGCTGAAAGGGAGCTGAGAGAGGATCCACTCCAGGGGGTCTTGTAACTGTGGAGGCATCATGTACTTAAGGAAGCAAGAAGAACAAAATGAAGTCCTGGGTCACATGATGTGGAAAATTAATGCCATTTGTTAATTAGATAAGAGAGGAACTTGAAACACAAAACTCCTAAGAAGCAGATGAGACAGGAAAGTCATCATCTCAAGGCCAGTTTAGTCTCCACAGGGTCAACTTGATTTGTTGTTGAGGTTTGACCTTGACCAGTGATCTTGAGACTGTCGACCCCTTTCATTCTCTCTACTTAATCCCATGTGCAATGCTAGAACCATCTGCTGACCTCCTTTATTTGGAGGCTTTATGTAAATTCTTTTTTAGATTTGTTTGTTTGTTTTTTCTTTTTAAAATATAATAGCTAAAGTAAAATTTAATCAAAGAAGGAGAAAAAAAAACAAGAAATAAACAGAGGCAAAAGTGAGTTTGGCATCTTTGTAGAACACTTGTATACTTGCTTGAAATAAGCCATTAGTTTGGCTCTCAGAATTCTTGTGACAACAGAGGAAATCATGCAGTCCCAGAAGTCAGTGAACACAGATAAAAACAATTGACCATTCAGGAAGAAAGCCCCTCCTGTCCTGGGACATAAAGAACAATGTCCTCAACTGTCTCTTTCTATCAATAGACAATGAGTTTTTAGGTATTGTTCTCACAGCTCTGGCTGTATGATGCACTGATGGGGCATTTGTTTTTCCAGTTTGTTAAAAAAATCATCCTCAGCGGGCATTACTCTGTTTTGTTTAACGGACATGTTATCACACATACTAACTTGTTAGTGCTTGTTGCAACTGCTAAATTGTTATCTCCATTTCTACACTTGAAGAAAAAAAAACTAAATGAGAGACATCACACGTCCCAAGTCATAGAAGAACGACTTGCTTTCATGGTCTGTGCTTTTAAAGCACTGTTATGTTACGGCATCTAGAATATGATTTCAGGTCCAGACAGAGAGCTAGACAGGCAGTTCAAGTTTTTACCCACGAACACACCACTCATCCTGGTCAAATCTGTAGACACGAGAAGCGCCGACTCCGAGGCAGACTTCCTAGCTCAGCGCCTGCAGTGTACCCACCTATGTGGCACAGTGCCATCTGCCAGGCTGTCCCCGGACCAGCCGCCAGAATGTGTCATTACCTAGCCCTGCCCTGCAGCCGGTCTGTTGTAAACCACTAGACAAAGCTGTCTTTGGAGTAACTTCCAAAGCTCTATGGCCTCGCATGCATCTGACATCTGCAGCAGAATTGCTGATCTCTGGGTGGATCAACAGACCATGTAGTCTGGCCACATGCAGGTGCCCATTCTCATCCACACACCCCCTCCAGTCTACAGCAAGATTTGCCACAGCTGCTGCAGCTGATAGTCAGAACAGGGCTGGTGCCTGCCTATTCCTGGCTAAAAGCAGTGACAGCATAGGTAATACTCACTGCTTCTTACTGAGATTTCCAGTGTGGCCTAATAGATTTCACTGTAGTTAGCTTATTTACTATTTCCAGATTTTAAATCTGTTTATTAAACTTGTGTACAAACAGCACACAGATGAGGATAATTAAATATAATTAATGCTCCTGTACAGTTAAGTTTCTGTGAGTTTGTTTTATGTTCAGAAATTAGCCTGTGGCGGTGACTGAAATGGTATTTGCATTTCGACGTCTGTGTTTGCAGATTTAGACTACGTTTTCGCACACTCCAGTGGCATCTTTCTAACAAGTACGGTCTACTTTGTGGCCTACTCTGTAGCCATGAAAAATAGGCCGAAGCTGTATCCACAAGCAGTCTTACCAGGTAACTACACAAAATCTTAGTGCTTTGTGATAGTGTCAGCTTCCACTAATGAACTTGAAAAATCATTAGAGAATGGGGAGGTGGAGAAACAGAAAGAGGAGGGAGAGAGAGTTCTCTTAAATGCTCTGGCTCAGTTCACCGTAAAATATTAAGTATTGAAAAGAGCCAAGAAACATAATATAAAATATTGAATATTAATAAAGAACCTAGAACTGTCAAAAATGAATTTTGATATTTCCTGTGATAAAAGTTCTTCTATTAGGGTCATAAGTGTTTACTATATTTTTCTACCATTTTAAGATTTATATTACTAGTCAGTGCCCCGTACCTCTATTTACAATTTTAAAAAGTATCAACAGATAAGAGTCTGCAGCCACTTAGAAATAACAGTTTATCTAAAAAGTTAGAAAAGGGGGAAAAATGCCTAGAAAGTGAAGTGTGTTTTGGGTCATAATTCTTTAGTCTTTGACTGTTAAAATAATGACTGAAGAGTTAGCATAATTCAATATGGAGCCTATATCCACAAGTGTATATTTTTACATAAAATACAGCTTACGCGAGCTGATTATTTTGAGCATCTGGTTGATGGACAACAGCAGAGTATTTACTGAAAACCTGGCTAAAGCGCCGTCCATTACTTAGCTGGGGTTTTCACTTAAAGGCTGGGATTCTGTCTTCCCGCAGCTCTAGGACCATTCCCAACGTCACACCCCTCAGGTTATGGCAGATCCAGCACTTGCTAGGCCCCTCCCCTTCGCCCCGCCTGGACCTCAGCTGCTCCCTAATAGCAATAAATGGGGTAAGCCACCACCATTCTCACAGCGGCCTAGAGCGGAAGAATCAGTCGGTTTCAAGCGACCACAAAGCATAGCTCAAAACTCCAGAGGAGCCGACGTTGCCTGTAACAATGCTTTTATGTGTGCGCTCTCACGTTCTGCGATGGGGACCGGGCGACTGTTCAGCAGAGAACCCCGCGCCTCCCCTATACCCCCTTTCTGTTCCAGGCTTCCTGTCAGGGGTGCTGTGGGCCATCGCCACCTGCTGCTGGTTCATAGCCAACCACTCGCTGAGCGCCGTGGTCAGCTTCCCAATCATCACTGCTGTAAGTGGCCGGTTCCCTGGGTTGTTCTTACAGTAAAAATAGACAAGCTGCCACTGTCCTGGACTGCTGAGGAGCGAACATTTATCCCCCCCCCCCTTTATTTTTCTTAACAGGTTCGAAAATGCCTAATCTGTCATGTCCCTTCAGTTTTTCCTAGTTTCTCCTACTGTCATCTCATTATAATTTTCTATTCACGGTTCTTTCAGCCTCATATGAATATCATGTGAGGTGGAAAGTCCTTCAGGCTCCTCTTGGCACCACGTGTCCCTGGGTTCAGGAAGTTTTCAGCAACTAACACCAACTTATACTAACCGTTGGGAGCTGCTGTCTGCTTGAGTGGGTTTGGGGTGCTTAATTACGTGACACATAGGTAACAGCCAAAACCAAAATGCTTGTGTTAAGATAGCATAAGTAGTGCTACAGTCTTTCCCATTTTGAAGATGAGGAAGTTGAGGCACTAGCAAGAGCACTTCCTGAACCACAGAACTGGTGGAAACACGAAACTTGAGACCACTAGTGCATCATCATCATCAACATCTTAGACAGCCCCCGCCCACGGGAGTACACAAACACAGGCATTTGCTTTGAAGGTGTCATCGGCATCACTTTCACTCACGCGTGCCTGAGTGCTGATCCCCCTGGAGCTGAGTTACAGTTGGGATCCATGCAGCATAGCTGGTGAGAATGAGGAAGGATATAGCAACAAGAGTTCTAAACTGTTGAGCCTTCACGGTTCTCCTGATTCCTACACCATCATCACAGACATTCTTTTTCCAAGTCATTTTAGTAGCACACATGGGTACATAAAAAAATTAAACATTGGCTAGTCTAAAACATTTCATAAAGGCTTGATAGGAGCTGTGGGTTTCAAATTGTATTTTGTTTCCAAGACAGTGTCTTTGTAACCCAGGCTGGCCTCAAATTTGAAATCTTCCTCCTTTAGCCTCTGAAATGTTAGAAATTACAATCACGTGTCACCAAGCCTGGCTCACACAGTGTTCTTCGGATTGTTCTATATTTATTAAATAACCTCCAAACAAAACTACGTTCGAATAATAGAAGTTATTTTTCTCATTTTAAGAGCCTACATGTTGGCATGAAAAGGAAATGCCTACCTCTGCAAGTCTCATTTTTTTTTAAATTACATCCAAAGTCTTTATAAAAAGGAAGAAGAGGGAGGAGAAGAAAAACAACATTTTCCTATTCAAGGACTCCCTCACTCTCTGTTCCTTTTCCTCCTTGGCAATTAATTCTAAAACTAAATCAATTCATTCAGAAAGCTTGGGTTCTTTTTTATAGTAGTAGCTGTATTTTATAGAGTACCTACATACACAAGCCTCATCCTAAGCACTTTAGGTTTGGCTTTCTAAGACAATACCTAACCCAGCTTCTCTCTCAAAGGCTGCCTTAGATGGAACGTGTTATACCCAACAAAAGGAAAATACACAGTTCAGGTGTCCCAAGCGGTTACAGCTGCTGTGAAATCTCTTTCTCCTTGGCTGTCTGAGCTGTGCATTACATCAGCACAGTATCACTTCCTAAAACCACATATATCTTCACAGCAATGCTCAGAACATGACCAAAGGAATAGTTAGAAAGTCATGAGGAAGGAAGCTTCAGAGCACAGTGGCGCCCTGTGGTCCTCTCTCACATCTTCTCTGAAGGGAGACATGTTTTCACATGAAGAGGATAAGGATTCCAGGGCAACTGCTATAACCTTGGTATTGGTATGTCGATCCCTCGGCTGTTTGCTCCCGCACCGTCAAGGCGAGCGCTTCTCATTTGATCTGGAACCTGGGGATCAGCACTTTACATCAATGATGTAAGGCGGTTCTTTTGACCTATTTCTCTTGCCCCTTTGACTTCACAGATGGTGATAAACCATCTGTAAGAGGAGAGCAAAGCATTTTTATTGCTTCCTTTACATGCTGGAAGCACTGGAATCAGGCTTTGTTGGGCCAGGTCTGCAGACAGTGGGAGTAGTGCCGGGAGAGAGAACATTGTGGAATTGTTTATTGCAGCTCTTCCAGCATTCCTGCAGGGCTTGAAGAGGAGTCATTGAAATTCTGGTCTCGTATGTATGTCTTCTTCACCAGCATCTCAGCCGAGCCAACTCCCCTGTTTTCCTTGCTGGTGAAAAGCATTAATACCAGATCTGAACAGCTTCACATTTTCAAATTGTAGAAATGTGCCTTTTCTCGGTCTTGTTTCTTCTAATTTCCTGTTTTGTGTAATTTTTTTTCATTCTGGTCCTCCAGGGACTCCCGTTGCTTGCTTACATGGTTTTATTTTTTTATGTGGCTAACTTTAGCCTTCCTCTGTGTTTACTGCCAGAGAAAGTGGATTAGTCTGCACGGGGACCTAGGACTGTCTGTGTCTATCAGGAAAAGATGCCCTTGCTTCATCAAGGAGAGTAGGTCATACAACTAATGCTGGGAAAATTTAAGGTGTATTCAAATACTTTATCAGTCCCTTTGTACATGCCTAAGGAGTATATCAAGAAAAAAACAAACTATTTGCTTATTAAAAATGGGGAAGGTTGTTTCTTCTCTATCTTTTGTTTGTTTTTGTTGTTGTTGTTGTTGTTGATTTTTGTATTTAGGTTTAAACCCAGGATTTCCCACACAGGAAAACGCTGTACGACTGACTTATAGCACCGCCCCACCCCCCTTTTCAAATTTTTACTTTACTTTTTAAGACAGTTTTGCTAAGCTAGCCAGGCTGGCTTTGGATTAAGTCTTTAGCTCCCAGCAGGTCTTCAAATTTCAATCCTCCTCCCTCAACTTCCCAAGTATCTACAGATCCATACCACTAGGCCTGACTAGAACAGTTTATCATAAATGTGTCACATTAAAAAAAAAAACGTTCAGTCCAATAGAATATTACAGCATCATCAAAATAACAGCAATCTCAACTATGAAGACAAAAACAGCAAAAAATAAATGTCTTACTTAATGACCTTACCTTGATTTTGTTTTCAACGTGTAGCTAAAGTATAGGAGTGTTTTTTTCCCCTAGAAATATTTTAATTGCCTGTAGCTTACTGTATTTTTTTAGGGTACAGGTATATAAAAAAAATCTAATAAAATTAAAAGGTTTTTTGTTTTTGTTTATATAAGGGTCCTGGATTTATCGCTGCATTGTGGGGTATCGTTGTTTTCAAGGAAATACAGGTAAAGATGAGGGAATGATTGTCCCCAAATGTCACTCTCCCCCAGGAGGCTGAGTACTTCGGGTAGAGTTGTAAATTCAAAGGGGAGACGGCCCCCAGGAGAACGCCATTCTGCTGCTGTGAGATAGGATGGGGCTTAGCAAAATGCTCTCTAGTTGATTATACGGCACTCGCCACCGAAGCCTCGGGCTTCAAGTGTACTTGCATCAGCTTACATCTCCCTTTCCAATTCACCAAGTCTGTCTGGAAAATATAGCCCTTCTCTAAACAAAGTTACCGGGTGCCTGTTCTGAACTCGTACTCTGTAGCTAGGTTAAGGGTGAAGACTTCTGAAACCTCAAGATGTTAGAAGACCTGGAAACAGCCATGCTTCCACATAACAACAGCCTTTGTACATGAGATTCTTCCCCTGAGAATCTCCAAGTGCTCCTACTTTCTTGGGCAACAACACCTCAGGGTGGGAAGCCCAGCTCTACTCTCCAAACTGTGAAGAGTTCAGGAGCAAATAATGCTCAGACAAGATGGTGGTTCCTTATTAAAAAACCCTCAGCTGTAATATGCCTTTACTATGTCTCTCAGGGGAGACACTGAGGGTAATCGCATATGTTTATTCAACGGATGTATTAGTAAGACTATTGCAGGAGAATCACTGAATGCTAGGAGAGGACAGAAAAGAAGGAAGGACTAGACAGAGGGACAGAGTCAGGCTGGTATGCAAGTAGCAGAGCAGGTGATCGAGGAAAGCTCCATGATGGTCTTTGTAAAATACACATTTTATAAATTTAAATTCGATTCAAGTTTTATTGAATGCGACCATTCTTGTTTTTATTACTCAGGGTGTCCGAAACTACTTACTGGTGACGCTTGCATTCTGCATCATCTTGTCGGGGGCCTTGTGCACGGCCTTTTCCGAAATTTAACTATTCACAGCAGGAACAGCAGATGGCAGCAGCAGCTAGGAGAACAGGAGATGGTCTCACCCACTGAGGAAGCTGCTGAGCTGTCTGGATAGCAAGGGATCTCCGGGAATGAATGGATAAGTGACTGTTCACTCTACAAACAGGAGAATGAAGAGAGCCCGTGTTTCAGTCCAGCTGATGCATGAAAACTCTTTCCAGTGAGCTGTTCACGAACGCAGGCCTTTGCTGCGTGGTTCAAAGACGTTCCTGTCTGAGGGTGCTGGCCTCATCAGTGTCTGCTTAGTGTTAGAATCCAGTTACCACCACAGTTTATAACTTATTAGTGAAGAGGAGCAGAACTACTTTGTTAGTGGAGGCAAGGAACACAGACTTGCCTTGCGGAATTCAAACTCAAAGATATTGGGCTCCTTTTCTAGAGAAAGTAAATGGCGTGTTTGCTAACTGAATGTTGAAAGGGCCAGTTCACCATCCATCTTTACCTTACTATATTGCTCAGCTCTTACATTGCCTGCCCTTCTTAGCTCAAAATATTTTGATCATTACTCCAGATAAGACCCATCCTCAGAGAGCAAGTCACCACTACTCAGAATATGTGTGAGTGAAATACAATGTACACACTCACAGGTACACACGTGTGTAATGCTCAGATTTGGAGAGCATTCTAGAGTTGCAAAAACTAAGGTTTTGGTTTATCAGGTACAATTTAAAGAAAGCATACGTGTTTGACTGCACGGCTACTTTTGTTCTTAAAACACAGTTACTTAAAAATCACTTTAATTGGAAGTGGGGTTTTTTTTTAATCCTTTTTAACTGATTTCTAGGGGACAAAAGAACATAGCAAATGCATTGATTTGGTTCTTTAAGAAAACGACCTGCAAGCACACTGCTCATTACCTTCCTCTCTGCACCCGTGCTACAGTAACTGTGTTGGCTGTGCCGCTTGCCCATCCCCCTGGGAAGGTTGGCACTTTGCTGTGGTAGGGGAACAGGGTGGTGTCCTGCACTGCCTGGGCTTACACCTCATGATGTTCTGCAGGAGTTCTGTGACTCCGCGGCTGAGCCCTCGGCATGGCACATCCCTGGAAGGAGAGTCAATGATAGCATGCGCCTTGACTCCTGTCCAGGGTCGCTAAATCTGTCGATATGTTCTCAAAGATCTCCTTTCCTGAAAAACATTCGGGACATGTTTGCCATTGCATGTTAATCAAGGGGAAACAACGTTTACAGATTAGAAAAGAACTTGAGAATTTATAAGAACTGTGGTCCTCATCACCCTCATCCCAATTATACTCTGTCTCACCAAATCAGAAATGTCCCTGGAGTCCCTGTCTAATCATTGAATTGCTAACACAATAATAATGACAATAATTACTATTGATAATAATAATGTTTTTATCCATTTCAGCTTTTACTTGAAATGTTATAAGATTATGTTGAAATGACAACTTCTGAATAAATTTATATAACAAAAAGCTGTTTTTTTGGATATATTTTAGAATTGTATTATTCCACCACCAAACAATGAGTACAATATTAATAAAAGTATTGGGCCAGGGTGGGAGTGGGAGAGGGAGGCGACAAGCCCTTACAAGATGGTCACCAAATTACTTACTCTTCGTGGTTACACTATGGGGAAGGTCTGTATCCTAGCACTCTGGTGTTTGCCAGGTTCTGTCTTTTGGACCAGGAGGGACATGTGACTGTTAGGAAAGGGAACGCACTCCCTTTGGGATGGGCTTGAAGCTGAAGGAAAAGCGCAAACGGCTGGCCAGAAGCCAGAGGACCCTTTTTAATCAGGGATGTCCCTCCCATTTCTTGCATGCTCCACACATGGTATGCAGCCTAGTGGGGAAGCCCTTCCAATCCTCTCTGCTCTGGCTTCTATGCGTCCATCTTGAGGCAGGTCTTGCTGTTTGTTTGATTTTGTCTCTCCCTTCCTGCCAGGTAACCTAAAGGAGCAATTGTGTAATCTCCACGTTTTTGCTCACCCTGTAGGCGAAGTTTTGATTTATCCTGTCTAGTGTGGCAGGGTTCTGCTGTTTGGGTCATTTCTAGCTTTGCTTTCTATCGCACCTTAATGAAAATGACAACCATGTTTCTACCACAGAGCTCCTGCTGCCTTGTGTCCAGAGAGCACACTGCAGAAGGCAGGTCGGACAGTGGGACCTGCAGAGCAGAAAATAAGGCATCTTATTAGTAAGGGGTTAGCAATCTAGCATTCCGTTTGAGCTAGGAATCAGTCTTTATTCCTGTTTAACTTAGCTTAAATATGGCTGACTACTATACCTGTTGGTGCTAAGAGTCACACTGAATTGAAAAAAGTAAGTTGTACAATGGCGTGTACAGCACGATACCTTCGAAGAAACTTGCTAGTGATCAAAGTGTATACCCGTATGTTCATTTATATAAAACGTTTAAAGCCCATGTGTCAGACTCATAGATTGTTTTTAGGGTCAGGAAGGAGCTTAGCATGCCAGTGCTGGTGAGAGTGAGGAGCTGTTTGCATTAAACAATCATGTGAACATACTTACCATTTGGTGGTTATTGATAACACATTTTTTTTATCTTACAAGACATTTTTTTTTTAGTATTTTGACTCTTAGAAGTTTTATTTTGATATGTAAAAGATTTAAAAGAACCAGAATTAGAGGGCACAGCACCTTTCTTGGGTATAGATGATGAAGTTTGCTCTGTGGGCTGGAAATAAGCAAATGTGGACAAGGAGAAAACGACCCCGGATGTCCTGGTGGCATGGTTACTGTGTACACTAGTAAGCCCCTGAAATGACCGAGGGCAGGTGTAGCCAGTCAGCCCACTTGTACCCCCACGATGTCTTCCGAACACCTCGTTGTAAGCTAGCGCATGGGTGCTCTCAGGTCTCTGTCGGAAGCCCTGGGAAAGACAGAAGCCTGTAAAAGCTTCCTTTTTTCTAAATCACACTCAGAATGGGTGCATATTTTCCTGCAACTGTTTCTGTGCTCCAGCAGGCCTTCTAGCTCCGCCCAGATCCAGTCTGCCATGCTTCCAAGTATTTGCAAACGTGGGAATGCATTTGAAATCCACCTTTCCATCAGCACTGTATCTGTCGCAGAGCAGGAAACTGCCCCGTTGCTAGCACCACAGGTTTCTGGTCTTCCAAACCTTCCTAACCTTTCCTAGGTACATAAGCATTCTGATTTCACCAGGCATTTCTATGTATCTTGTGTTTTCCCATCACTGATGTAAGTAGTCCATAAGTCACAGCAAAATCAAGCGACTTTGCAATTTCATGATGTCTGTTCACAATAGCTCACATCCAATTATACAGTGTGTGAAATCCATTTGAATGGAAAACTCTTAAATCCTCTTTAGCCATCATGGAATAAAAGTGGGCCAGCAAGTTGACTCAGGATGGTAAATAAAGGTGCTCACTGCCAAACCTGACAGCCTGCATTGGGTGTCACATGGTGGAAGGATAGAACAGACTCCCACGAGAGAATGCACACAGCCATAACAAGTGTGCGGCTGAGAACTGGACATAATCTTGTGTCTTTAAATAAGAGAGCCATGTAGGTACTACTTAACTTAACTCTACTTTATATCTACTTTAGTCCTTATTGCTTCTAACTCCCTTCCAACATCACCTCCCAACACTAGGTAGGAGAGAAAGAAGGTTAGGAGGGACAGGGGGCGTAGACCTCTATAGACTTAGTTCCAGCTGGTTAGGGTCATTGGGTTCTTTGGGGAAATACCAATCTCAGTCATCATCTTATCTACCCAAACCAGCAGGGTTCTTTTTCTGTCTGTCTACTCAAAGCCTCTATCTATCTATCTATCTATCTATCTATCTATCTATCTATCTAGGCCCTCTAAATATTCTATCCCTGTCTCTCCCTATCTCTCTCTCTCTCTGTCTGTCTCTGTCTCTCTGACACTCTCTCTCTCTCTCTCTCAGATTTGGTATTTATAACCCTCCCAGAAGCCTCAGAATTAAACTATCTACAGCTGACAAAGACCAAACCCTCTATGAGCAGCACGAGGCAATTATCAGCTGTGGCTAAACTAAAAGCAGTTCCATATCCTACACTTGTGATTAAAACAAAGACCTGTTCATATAACACAACTGAGTTTTTAGAGAAACTAAAACTCCCACTACGGAGTCCTGGAAAAATATTAAAAACAAGGAATAAGCCACCAGCATATCCATTGAGGCATTTGATCTTGAAAATCATTAGGCAGAGGAAAAAAGAAAAAAGCCCCAATGGGTAACAGGTTGAGTGTCATTGACAAGGGGTCACCGGGGAGCTGGAGAGATGGCTCAGCACTGGCTCGTCTTCCTGAGGACCCAAGCTCAATTCCCAGAATGCACATGGCAGCTCACAACCATCTACAACTGTAGTGTCATAGTATTTGGTGCCCTCTTCTGATGTACAGACATACATTCAGACAAAATATCCATATACTTAAAATACATAAATTAAGCTTTAAAAAAAAAAAAAAAGATTCCCTGGCCCTCGATGCAAGCTCAAAGTGAAGTCAGGCGGAGTAAAGCTTTTCTACTTAATTATCATTTATCGTTCACTAAATGCTGTGTGTGTTGCTCTCTTGGGAATAAAACGGGCATCTGCTGACAAGCTGTCCCAGCCCTAAGATCTTGGGTCTTAGCTGATGCACTTATCCGTGCCTTCCTGGCAGCCACTGCCAAAGATGGAAACATTTATAAAACTGGAGCTTTTCTAAGATGAGTCAGGATGGTTAAAATGAATTATTCTCATAATATGAGGTACCTGGTTGCCTTCCTTTAATTTTTAATGACTGTTAATCATATCTTCACCTGGAAAATGCATTTTCACACTTGACCACCAGAGGACAGTGTATGTCTGACTGATAACTTGGAATCGGCTCAGAAACTGCGCACACATGCGCACTGGCTCTGCCCACCCTTCTCTTTCCTCCACCCACCTTCCTTCACATATCTCGCCTGTGAATGACTACAGCAAGAGCACACGCGTGTTAAAAATCACTTGTATCATTTCTGTACTAGCAGTGCCTCTAACTCTGCATGTGTCGTCTGTCTCAGAGACTGCTCTCATTCTCCTTTTGGCGTTTGGACTTCGTGTAACGTGAAGCCATCACAGATAAACTTGTTTCAGAAGTGTGTAAGTGAAGAGGGGATCCTTGTCCCAGAGGGTCCAGGACACAGGAGTTTTTCACAGTGAAAGCCACCAACACGAGGGCCGCAGTAAGGCGCGCTGTCCTCACTGACTCACCAGGCTGCACGGCCTCTGTCTTCTCAGAGCTGCACTAGTAATTCTCTAGCCTAATTAGAGGCTTCAGGTCACGGAGACCTGGAACTACTCGCCCTGTTATTTCTGAAGGCCCTTTTCCAATAAGAGGCTGAAATGTTTTCCCAGCGGGCTCATTAAGTCAAGCACTTGCTGTAACTGCATGTCCAGTGGATGTGGAATCTTACAGGCTTAACTCTCCCTTGGCAGGCTGGGCTGAGAAGGTATGTCAGCCATCCTTTTCTCCTAGGTATGGAATTCTACTGGACAAAGGTGAGGCCTGGGCATGAGACCGTGTTTACTTCAGTTCTGAACCACCTAGTGGAAAAATCACATCACAAATTGTACTGAAGACGGAAAGTCGGACGTGCCTGAAACCTCGTCATAAGGCAGGATGCTGTGCAGAACTGCCTCATTTACAGGCTCAGCGTCTGCCCCGTGCTGGGTCGCTTTACTCTTCAGGGCTTCCAGAACTTAAAGTCATAGTCCATGTATACCATCTTGGCAATAAATCTGTTCACTTGGACATAAGAATGCGACATGTTTCTTTTCTCCACGCCCCACCCTTCGGGACAGTTTCTCTGTGCAGCCCTTGCTGCCCTAGAGCACACTGTAGACCAGGCTGCACTCAGACTCACAAAGACCCGCCCGCCTCTGCTTCTGCCTCCTGAGTGCCGGGATTAAAGGCCTGGGGCACCACCGCCTGGCTTCTGTAGTTTTCTTAAGGGCCAAATTTACCCCACACTTTGAATTAGAAGCACTCTTCCGGCTCCTGCCGGTCCCGATTGGTTACCTCTCTGTCTCCTGCCGCTTATCGTCCACCTCAGGAGACAGTCGGCAGGAGCAATCTGTCTCGATCTCCTTAGGCACTGTGTCACGTCACCTCACAATAGATTCCTGGTAACCTGTTGCTTTGGTTTTCTAACTACGTTCATCCAGGTGCCCCGCTCCTGGGCAATCCCATTCCTCGGCAATCACCTTGCCTACAACAGCACACCAACAAAACGGTCACGAGAAAAGTCCTCACAGGACGAGGGCCTGGCCCTTTCTGAGTGATTCTTACGGTGCCCATCAGTTCTGTCTGGAAGGGACATCAGTTTGGTTAAATTAGGTTTGCTTGTTATTTCAACTGACAAATTTGTCGCCAAAACAACCGCAAAGATACAGACAAAATTAAGCATCACTTCTTATTCTCTCCCAAT